TTTTTTTTGGAAAAAAAAGTGACAATCTTCGTAATACCCTGAAAACGCAACTTCTGCAATGAAACTATTCGCCTTCCCTACTAAAATACTCTTCGTAGAACACGTGCTGCCATATATCTTGGAAGTGTGGATTTCAAAGAATATTCCTGCTAAATATCATCAGTCTTTGTAAAAATTGTTATTCTATGTAACTTTAAAGTGAGTGGTACTTATAAGTACCGTTGGTAGGTAAAGGGTTAATGTTACAGATCTTTAGTTATTCGTTTTTCAATACAGATTCCTTAGAGGACTATTCCCCAGCTATTATTACTAGTAATTATTATTTTCTGTGTGTTCAATCAATCTAGATTTTAATAGAAAATCCTAACATTTTATCTTTTATTCTTATTCAACTATTTTACTAGTAAGTAATTTTTTGTGGAGTACTAAAGCTTGGAAAAAATTTCATCCTTTACCTCAGAAATATATACTCTACGTGCCAAATTTTCTAATACTAATCCAATTTTTTGTAAATGGTTCCTGTTTTTAGAGTTATTAAATTTCAGATTTTTAGGAAAGGGATAAGATACATTTTACTGTTTATATTAGTTTATTTTAATCCTGATAAAAATGAATTCATTTAAAATGTTTGGTACAATGAACTAATCATTAATTTGTTATTAGGAACTAGTCAATGTAACATGTTAACTTCCATTACAAGGCAGCACTTACTGCATATTTCATTTAATTTATTTTTCAAAATTATATTGCTGTTTAAATTCAAACAATTAGAAGATAAAAGAATAATCTCTTTTCCATTTTTTTGCACTTGTAGTAAAAAATTCTTTTAAAAATATTGAATGACCTTGTGCAAAACAAATATTCAGTATTTTTACTTGATTATATAATTTTATGTATATTTCTAGCATTCCAGAAAAAGAAGTTGTTTCTGATGAAAAAAAGAAGATGTGGAAGACAAAGAACTTGATGATATACAAAAAGTAGCTGAAGAATTGGAATTATCACAGCTAAAAGAAGCAAAGAAAAAAATGAGAAAAATCTTAAAACTACGCAAAAAAGTACAGGACAGAATGAATTTGAAAATGATTATAAAAAATGATGAGCCTATAATTGATGAAGACCAAGAGTTATTTAGGTTAACTAAAATTAAAGATAAAAATGTGAGTTGATGTTTTGGCTAAAAAAATTTTGAAGTAATATAATTTACATGATATCCATGCAAATGTCTTATTTGTAAGTGAGATTTCAAAATTTTACCATATAACTTGCATTTAAAATTTGCAATGCATTATACTGATGAAAAATCGTATAGAGTCTAAAATTCTTTATGCATTTCCAACATAAGTGGGTGTACTTATTCAATAGATTTTTTATTGCTAATTTATACTGCAACTCTCATGTGTATATTTTACTTTTAAATATTTCTATAACAATTTTCTTCCTCCTTTTCTTTTTTCACTAATACTATGTACTTTATTTGGCTCTTTTTTAAGAGAATTTAAGGTATGTGTTTCTGCAGTATTTGGGTTTCACCCAGTGTTCAAAATCAGTTTAAAATACATTTAAATTTAAATTTAAAAAAATTTTTGCCTCTATATTTATATTTTATCAAAATTCTAATTATAATAAAATTTTAATCCTATGCTTTTCTTTAATAATAAAATGTTTAAATTAATTTATAAAATTAATTCTATGACTTGCATATTTTGATTGGAGGTCTAATTTTTATTTCTGAATTAAAAATAAAGGAAGCTATTTCTAAAAATTTAAAATTGTAAAGCTTTTTTCAGTTTTTACAATTGTTTTTTTTTTTTACTCTTAACTAAATAGTAGCTTATTAAAAGTCATGTTGGGGACAATGTTACTTAATAATTTGTTTCCATTTCATATGACTTTCCTATTTCATTTAAAAATACATATTTTTAAAATTTGCTGTATATGAATATCAAGTTTATAAATTTGAAGCTGATGTATATTAATTCTTTATTATATAATTTAGATTCTTATTTCTTTTTTATTGATTTGTGTATTTTCCCCCTTTATAAGTGTTAGGAATTCAAAGATTTATTATTTGCTTACATTTCATTTTCCATATTTCACTTAATACTAGGATCTTGGACTAATAGATGAGGAAACTAATCTAGAAATAGGTTCTGACCCTGATCAGTCTGATTTAGATGACATTGCAATTAGCAAATATCGAAGTACAAAGAAACGCTATGATACTGAAAACAAAGACCTCTCGTATGTTGAAGCAGAACCTGAAAAAGAAGAAAGTGATTATTCAAGTGATGAAGGTTTAAGTAGTGAACTTGAATTTGAAAAGTAAGATTCTAAATTCTAAATGCGTCGTATATTTTAATGGGATGTAAAGTTGTTTTTTTTTTAAATTTTACTGTACAATGTACTAAGATTTCTGTTCTTGTTTTTCTGTGTTGAGTAATATAAAAAAAAGATTTTATGCTTTATTTTAACATTATACGATTAAATAAAAGTTGTTTCAGTTGTAAGTGATTTTATAAAAAGAATTTTTTGTGTGTGTTTATCTAGATATTGTTATAATATATAAAGAATGTATGTATTTCTAAAATCTAACATTTGTTTTTGATATGTATTTCTGGCATTCATCTATAGTGTTTTAATTTATATATTTTAATCAAATTTTCATATTTTGATGCTTTTAATTATAATTAAGTTAACTCTCTCATCTAAGCAGACACTTTTTTAGCTAAAAATGGTGCAGCAAAATTGTGCAGTTTTGTTTGAAAATCATAGTACACAGTTGGACCCCGATTTAATGAATTCATTGGGACTGAACATTTCATTCTTTAATTTGGGGTTTTTCGTTATATCGGTGTCAAAACAAAATACAATTTTTTTGCTTTTCCCTTTTGGAAATTCTATAATAAGCAACTACACAAAAAATATGTATAGTTAGAAATTGCATATGTTCTGTTCAAAACAGCTAATAAATTTATTAGTTAATTATTATTCTCAAGTTAATTGGAAATTTTAAAATACTGACTAACAAATTTTTCAAAATCTTTTTGATTGTGATTCAAAAGAAGAAAATTTTTTTCATTTATGCCAATTGCCATTCATTGGCTCAGACAAATCAACAGTTTTTTCAACTTCAGTTGCACTGATAGGTAGTCCATCATCAAATGTAACATAATTGTTGAAATATTAAAGTATCCCCTGCATTGTGGAGTGAGATGAGGAAAGACAAGGAATTTACTGTCTTATTCAATACTCACATGATAGATTAAACTCATGACTAATTTGCACCTGTAAAGTTTAATAATAGTTTGCACTGTTTCCCATCGAAATTTGCTGTTTACAAGAAAAGAGTTTCTGTTCCAGACAAAAGGATATGTCATTTGAAAAAAAAATCCAATTTTTGTAATGCAAACTAATAAAAAAAAAATTTCAGCTGTCAAAGTAATTCATTATTTCGACATGTATTATTCATCAAATAGGGGGTTTTGCTGTTGTTTTAATTGGGAAATCATATAAATTTGTGAAATTGGCTAAATTAGGGCTTCAGTAAATGGGGGTTTGACTGTATTGATGTATCCTATATAGTTATTTTGTGAAGATATTTCTATAATAACGATGTAGATGTTTAATTTTTTTTTTTTTTTTGAGGACTTTTGTCAATGAATTTTCTTAAAATATAAATTTTTTTAAATCAATTTTTTGAATCTATTTAGCTGGGCATAATATTTGACTAAATTCCTGGGCCTGGCTATAAATGACTAGATAGTGTTACAATAATCCTTACATTAACATAGCAATATCTCATTGACTTGTGTACCAGAATTCAAATTCACTAAACTTAAGCACAATGAAGTGATCATGAACTCGTGACCTCCATTGTCAATTATGTGTTCAACTCCTTGTGCCACTGAAGACCTGCGATGTAGAAATGCTGATGCATGTTAAACTTATGTAGTTTTAATGTCCTTACATTGGTGTTGAAGTTCAGATAGTGTAGTGTCTATTCAAGTTTTGTCTTGACTGAGGCTCAGGATTAAAAGATTTGTCCCCAATAAGCCCCTGCGTTGCTTTAGAATGCGACATTAATAAAAATGAGATCAAATTATGCATGAGGTTAGTCTGGGATTTGCCTGCAATGGGAGGAATGCTACTTTAATATTTCTTCAAGAAAAAGCCTTTAGCCTATTGTTAGCTTATAAGTAAAATAATAAGAAAGGATACTTTGAAATGTGTATTTGAAGGAGGTGTAATCTTTATATCCATTATAGTAAAATGAGTACACACATGAAATGTTGTTAGGAACATTTTTTTTTTTAATGTCATTGAAATTATTTTTACACTTGGTTTGTTGTGTCATCACAAGAGCAAAAAGAAATCTGATTTTAGTTACATTTATGCTTAGCTAATAAAAGAAATACCAAATTTAATTTAATATTCAATTTTAATGATAGTAGCTGTGATAGAGAGAGATTTCCAACTTTTTAAAATACATATCACCACAAAAATGTGATATGTATTTTAAATTCCATTCATATTCTATTCAATTTATTTTACAGAAATTTCTGTAATTAAATAATTGAAAATATACAAAGTTGTGTTTGGAAACATTTTGTGTATTAATTTAGATTTAAGAGTTTAAGGAGGGTAAGCAAGTTTTTTAAAAAAATGATTTTTTTACTTTTAGTTGAAAATTAATGTATAGTTATATTTTTCGAATCCTACTATTAGTTCACCTCTCCCTATATATATATATATATATATATATATATATATATATATATATATATATATCTTGTTCAAATTTTTAATCATTAATAAAATACTTTCTATTCATCCATTCAAGTTCATATACATTTTTTTAAACTTGTAGTGGATGTCACTTAATGTTAATATGGGTTTTTCAAATATTAGTTAATTAATTAAATGTAAAAAATGAATAAATATTAACAAACAAAAATATTAGTTCAACAGCATATATAGAAAGGAAAATCATTCGTTGTGTCCCTGTAGTGCAATGGATAGCGCTTTAGACTTTTATTCCAAAGGTAGTGGGTTCTAATCCCACCTGGGATGGCCTAATTTCTGAGGATGTGATTTCTTTTTTACTATACTACATTTTTAGAATAATTATATTTAATTAATGAATAAATAGTAACAAAAAAATAGTCCAACACCAAAAATAGAAAGGAAAATCGCTTTCTATTTTATCACTTAATATTGTGATTCTGTCATATGTATATATTTATTTATATTAATTGTAACTATTTAATAAAAGGTAACTAAAATAAAATTTTTCTTTGTTGACCTAAGTAGGAATTAACTTAAAATTTTTTTTTTTTTTTTTTGTTACTTGTGTTAACCAATGAGGTATCTGGTCTAGTGGTTAGTGACACTGACTGCTGTGCTGTTGGGCCTGGGTTCAAATTCTGGAGAAGGCATGGATGTTTTTAAATGTATAGTGCCTTTGCAGCATGAGGCTATTTTAAATGGTCGTCGAGCTACAAGTTCTCTCATGAGGTTTGAGGAAGTGGGTGGGAGGTACCTTTGAGAGAGAGACCACCTCCAAGGTGTTATGCCTCAAAATTGGAATGGATGTGAGCCAAATCATACATTTATCTGTATGGTGATCAAAGCTACAGCTAACAATATATGTACATTTTGCCCAATGCTGCAATGAATTTCGTGGGCTTGATCTGACACTGTCAGGTGGCATTAGCAACAACAACACTAATGAAGTGTATGTTTTTAGTTAAAGAAGGGACTATAATGTAAAAAAAGTAATATTCTTCCAAAATGTTTCCAGAACAAAATTTTTATTAATCTAGAATTAATCATCAATCTGAAATTTAAAAGTTTTATCTGTGATATTATTGTGTAAAATTGTAATTTGCTTTATATATACATTTCAATTTGAAGTTTACTAAGAAATCATTATCGTAGTTGCTCATTTTGTCAATTGTATTTCTTTAAAATTAACTAGAAAATGATTGAATTTAGTTGTAATACTTAATTAAAATTTGGTTTTTCATTACATTATGTAGTATCAAATTTTTAGCAACAATTCTACTATTGCATATAAAAATTAGTAAAACTTGTTGTTTTAAGTAAATATTCCATGTGTTAAATTAATTACATGAAAATGATAAATTATTGATTAAAATTTACTTTGAAGGCATCTTTTAAAAGAGTGTTAATCTCATTTTCAGTGAGTCTGAGATAGAAGATGTGAGTAAAGTAACTGAAACTATTTTAGAAGGAAAGAAGAATCCCCTGGTTGTTGATCTAGTTAAAAGACCTGAAAGAATAAGAGATACTGTTGACCAATGGTTTGATAATCAAGATTTTGCTGAAGAAAATGAGGACAGTGATCTTGAGATAGATTTACTTGCTGAAGAATTTGGAAATAAACAAAAAGTAGTTAAAGGTAAAACATTTGGGAATAAATTTTTGAATTAAATGTCAAATTTATTTTAGTAAATGTGACCTTCTTTTCTAAATTTTTTTTAATTTTGTGTTTTTTTTGTTTGTTTCAGCCAAAAAAGCTGACGAATGGATGGATGAAGAAACACAAGGTAAAATTAATGATATTAAAAACCATGCTCTTTATTATGTGCTTTTGCTTGATTTTTATTACTGATAAATATGTTTACATATATATATTATTCTCTGATTGATATGTATCATTCTTAATGTAATAAAGAAGTTTATTTAAAAAAAACTGATATATATATATATACAATAATTTAACTTAAAATTCTAATCTTATATATTTTTATTGAAGTCACAATTACGAATATCATTTTAAAATGCAAAATTCATTTCACTTCACATTAAAGGATAAAAACCTATGTTTTTAGAGATATATTCATGATTTCTCTTTAAAAGGATTAGTTCTTGAAATTTTTCCCTAAAATACTTGAAAAATTTCTAAAAATAATTAATATTCCTTTCCACTTGAACTGGGATTGTATTTTTTCTATTACATCTTTTCCTGTTTTTCTCTTCTTTTTGAATGAAGAAGTGGATAAATCTTGCTGTTTGTATTTTGGCTCTTGAGCTGAGAGGATGCCAAATTTTTCTCTCCTGATGTTAAAATAACCTAAATAAACAATGATTTGATCAATATCCAGAATTTTTATTTGTCATGAGACTACAACATCCTGATTCACAAAATGCATTCATCTCTACATTATATGTATTAATCAATGTGTTTAACATTAATCCTGTGTCACAAAGCAGTCAAATGACTGCCTTTGACACTTCAAAATCGTTATATTCCAGGTATTCATTTTTCTTGAACTTACTGCACAGCTTTTTTCTGGTATATAGTTACTTATTTTTTCCGTATCTTTCTCTTTCTTTTGTTTAATCATCATAATCATATGTGCACTATCATTATCTACCTTGAGCGATCTTTTAACTGCTGAAAAATTTATTATTAAATTTATTAGTTATTTGCATTGATATCTCAAATCTCCAAGGGAATATCATCCAATTAGTTTTCTGTATAGTTTGTTGTGTGGCCTGTTCAGAACACGTGCTGTAGGTAACTCGTGAGACAAAATGTGCATTCAAATATTTTCTTTGTGGTTAGTTTTATTTGTAATAATAATATGCTACAAACTTTGGGTAATAAACAAATTAAATTAATTTGTTAAGTAGTAATTTTTTGTATTTTATTATTAGTGGATTATTCAAAAGTAAATTAAAAAATTTACCTCTGAAATGTCAATTCAAAGGAAATTATCAGAAGAAATAAATAATATAAGCGAACTGTTCTCTGAAATAGATAAAGAAAATTCTGAGAGTGAGGATGGTATATATGATCTGTATTGAATACTGATTCTGAACAATTCGACATGGATATTGAGGAAGAGAGCACTGTGAACAAGCATAGGGAGATAAAAAAAAAAGAATGAGATTGTTCCCTAGTTTTGAAGACAAATATGAAGAGAAAAAGAACTATTTAGAATATTGAGAAACTTCAATTGATGAAACTCTGGCAAAAATTTCAAGAAGGTTCTGAACTTGGAAGATCCCTATTTTATACTACGGTCAAGGGGATATGGGAAACGTAATAATATTAAAGCATTTCAATAAGATGTAAAAGTTGTGATGATGAATAAATTTCATTTTAATTTGAGAATTATATTTCTGCAAATTACTGAAGTAAAAGAAAATTTTTCAATTCATACTTTTCTATTTAAAAATATATATGCCCCAAATCCAAGGAAAAAAAGATGATTTATTATATAATAATTATTTTGTTTTTTATTGCCATGAGAAATTCTGAATTATTTATAACTAGAAAATTATATAATATTTATTTAAAAAGCGGTCATTTTTTATCACCATTGGTAGAAATGAGTATACATGAAATGTCCATAGGTTTAGTGTTAATCATGTTTTTAAAATTTTTTTTTAATATTCTTTAAAGGCTATTCCTTATTTTTTTCTAAGTTATTCTTTTTTATGTATTAGGATTTTACATTAAACTATTTTTTCTCAGTACAAATTTTCGTTTTTAAGCAGCTATCTAAATTCTATAAGATAAATTCTTGAAAAAATGTTTGTGGAATTTTAAAAAAGTTCATGTAATTTTGGTAGCTTTTAAAATAAAGCTAAAAAGTTCTTTGAATTGTTTATTATGAAATAATTTCATGTCTAGTTGAACAGAAATAACTTGTGGAGGATTGGGTCTCTAGTGACAGTGACAGCGGGTTTTTTTTGTAAAAAAAATCACTGGGAGATTATTAGCAAAGAAGTGTATGTCCCTGCATTTCATACCAAAATTCATTTTTCTTCTGACCTACCAGATATTTCTTTTCGCAATAGCTCTTAAAACATTCTCCACTTAACTTCTATATCAAATAGGGTAACCACATTAACAAAGCGATCATGATTTCAAACTTGTGGCTGTATTGTTTCTGTTGAATCATTGGTTTTAATCCTGGTGCCTCTAACAACCTACCGTAAAGAGAAGCTGGTGTGGCCGCAGTAGCCGAGTGGTATAGGTATCGGTTCGTGGCTTGCCTTGTCATGAGTTCAAGCCCAGTACCACTAAAGACTCGCTGTGTAGGGCAGCGATGCACATTAAATCTGTCGAGAGCTGAAATGCCCTCCCATGGGTGTGGTGTGGTAGTTAGGAGAGCGGGGTGCCAGCTCAGGTGTAGTCCACGTCACTTGACCATGGTTCAAAATTACGTGGTTTGTCGCCAAAAACCCTTGAGTAGCTGAACAGTGCGACGTTAATATTCAATCAATCATAGAGAAACTGGTGCATATTAAATTTTTAGAGGCATGTTAAGGTGGGATGCTAGTTAAGATGGTGTTTTTAGAACTTGATTCAAAATCATAAGGTCAATCACCTATAGTATTACCTCAAAATGTGGCTTTAATAAACAATTAGTCAACCAATCTTTCACAAACAGGCAATGGTCCACTTATTTGTACATCTTATGCGACATTTGAATTGGATTCAGCTTGAGTTCCATGCAGAACTTCGTTTTATCATACAACATATTATTTTGTTCATGCTGTATAGAGATATTATTAATACATTTAAAATATTTGCTTCATTATAAATTATTATTGCAATGAATTTTTAAACGTTACTAAATTGTGCTCCTTTTGAATGTAGTTTATTTAAGTAATTTTCAATTATATATTTTGTCTAAATTATATCTTTATCAATGATAGAGTGAAATGCCCAACTGCTTTAAATTCATGTGTGAGAAATATCTGATTTATAGCAGTTAAAATAAAAAGGGCTTCCTTAAGTCATCAGAAAATGAAAATTGATGAGCACTAAATTAGGTCTATTAAAATGAAGAAAAAAGAAAAAGTATAATTTTTTTTCACTCATTGATATATTCTATGTGCATATGTTAATATTTTATAGAAATATAAGATAGCATTGATTTCACCCCTTTAAAAAAATTGTGTAGTAAATTATTGAAACTTGCTTCTCCTTTTTTGTACTTGGTTTGCACAATATACTATCTTCTGAAAAAAATTACTGAAATGAATTGTTAATGTTATAATTGTAAATTTTTATCATCAGTCAGGTATAT